GTAGGTGTCTTGTGGCCAAATTTTGGTGTCATTTCATCCAGTAGTTTTTCAGTTATGTGAGTCCCACAAGCGAACATTACATTTATATATATATAGACTAGCTGCCCCCTACCATGCGTTGCTGTGGCCCAGTCTGTGTATATGTGTTTTGTGTGTGTATATATGTGTGTATATGTGGTTTTGCGCATGAGCTGTAGTGTTGTTTTGCATTTTTGGCTTTTTAAGTCTCTTCCACAGTGTTTTTCAGTGTTTTTATGAGTGATGGTCACTTGTTGGCCTGATAGGTGTCTTGTGTCCAAATTTGGTGTCAATTCGTCCAGTGGTTTTTGAGTTATGTTAATCCCACAAACAAACATTACATTTTTATTTATATAGATATGGATTGTCACCTTGTCATGGTGAGGGGGCTTGCATGTTCCAATGATCCTGAAGGTGTAACCACCACAGTCATGCACTGCTGTGGGGGGGGGGGGGGGGGTACAGGGGAGGTTCCAGACCGAGCACAATCTGAAGACCTCCAAGGCAGATAAGGTGGAAGATAACATGGTACATGTTACAATGGCTGTGAAGGCAGAAGAAGGCTGCAACAGACTGAGAAGCCACTGTCCTTGTGTTAACCACGCCACTGGTTGGGACCCTCAATCTGTGAAGACTGTGTGTTGATTGGCTGTGCATTGACCCCCACACTTAAAAAAGACCTCACACACAGGTGTCTTCCAAAAATTTGGAAGGCCATCATACTCAGACAATGAGGGATCACCTAAGGGAATTTGTATTTACATCTGAGCATACAGAAAAATACCACCTAGTCTTTGCTTCTCAGTAAAATACATATAGGAGAATACACACATATAAAAACTAAAGAGATCAGGTTGGCCCCCTCCCTCTTGTCCTTTCGAAGGATGGTAAAAACTTGGCTGTGAGACCAAGCTTTCAGGACAGGGCAATAAAGCAGCAATGGGAAAAATTATCAGGCCAATTAGATTTCTGTTTCTTAGGGAATTTTCTTTGCTTAAGTAACTGCCTAGAAAGATGAATAGCTTCAAATCAGTTTCCCTCCATTTAGTAAATACATGATTTTTAAATGTGCTTTTTAACAGTGTTGAAAAACTGTTTGAAGGGCTTTTGAATACCAAATTATGCTAATTCAACCCTACATAGCCTGGGTAAAATCCCTTTAAGCCCCTCTTTTCATGGAACGACTTCTTCTCATCAAAACGAAGGTGGAATTGATTGGGTGGTTTCCTCGCCAGCCCTCCCTCTTTGATTTCTCAATATATGCTCTAGAGAATAAGGAAACTCTCTGGAGCCATTTTTTTGTGGGGAGGACCTAGGTAGCTGTAAGATGAGAACTATGTTTACGTAATATTGCATTACACCCTTTCTACTATCATGAATCATAGAATCATAGAATCAAAGAGTTGGAAGAGACCTCATGGGCCATCCAGTCCAACCCCCTGCCAAGAAGCAGGAATATTGCATTCAAATCACCCCTGACAAATGGCCATCCAGCCTCTGCTTACAAGCTTCCAAAGAAGGAGCCTCCACCACACTCCGGGGCAGAGATTTCCACTGCTGAACGGCTCTCACAGTCAGGAAGTTCTTCCTAATGTTCAGATGGAATCTCCTCTCTTGTAGTTTGAAGCCATTGTTCCGCGTCCTAGTCTCCAAGGAAGCAGAAAACAAGCTTGCTCCCTCCTCCCTGTGGCTTCCTCTCACATATTTATACATGGCTATCATATCTCCTCTCAGCCTTCTCTTCTTCAGGCTAAACATTCCCAGTTCCCTAAGCCGCTCCTCATAGGGCTTGTTCTCCAGACCCTTGATCATTTTAGTCGCCCTCCTCTGGACACATTCCAGCTTGTCAATATCTCTCTTGAATTGTGGTGCCCAGAATTGGACACAATATTCCAGATGTGGTCTAACCAAAGCAGAATAGAGGGGTAGCATTACTTCCTTAGATCTAGACACTATGCTCCTATTGATGCAGGCCAAAATCCCATTGCTTTTTTTGCCGCCACATCACATTGTTGGCTCATGTTTAACTTGTTGTCCACGAGGACTCCAAGATCTTTTTCACACGTACTGCTCTCGAGCCAGGCATCCCCCATGTGAGCCCCTGGGATCTTCCCTTGAGCTGTTTAATTGGGATTATTGTGCTCTTGGTACTTGGTCCTTGTTGTGTTTGTGCAGCCCTCCGTTTAGCCTTCTGGCGATTCCCAGACATTATGGGTAAAGTAGTGTTCGCAAGGCTGTTGTCCCCCTCCCCCGGTGGACCTAGTTTAAAGTGCGTCTAATGAGGTTTGCGAGTCTGTGAGCAAAAAGGTGTTTTCCTACTTGTGTGAGATGCACCCCATCCCTTGCCAGTAGGCCATCCTCCTGGAAAAGCAGGCCATGGTCGAGGAAGCCAAAGCGTTCCTCCTGACACCATTTTCTAAGCCAGTCATTGACCTGTACTATTTTTCTGGCTCTTGTGGGTCCGTGTCTTACAACAGGGAGGAGGGATGAAAAGACCACCTGTACATTACATTCTTTTAGCATTGCTCCTAGAGCTCGAAAATCATTTGTGATCTTTTGAAACGTATGCCTTGCAGTATCATTGGTTCCTACATGAATCAACATGAGGGGAGGACGGTGATAGGGCTTGAGGAGCCTGGTGAGCCTCTGAGTGATATGGTGTATGTTTGCCCCCGGTAGGCAGCATATTTCTCGAGCCATCCCATCTGGTCTGGAAATGACAGCTTCCGTTCCTCTAAGGAGGGAGTCGCCTACTACCAAGACCTGTTTACTTTCAGGAATGACAGGGCCCCTTTTGTGCAATGTAGTGTGTAGGTCTCCAGAAAAGTGATCCTGTTGGTGTGAATTGTGTAGGTGAAAAGTGTTGTCCTCCTCCTCGACATCCCCAGTGCATTCGTCAAGGACAATCCATTGAGATTCGTCCAAGAGCCTATGGTTCTCCTGTATGTGTTCCTGTTGCTCCTGGTCTATGGTTGGGGATGGTACACCTGCACGATTGTGCAAGAGTGAATGTTGTGAAGTGTTGTCCCAGTCAGGGCTATCCCCTGCACACTGATCAAGGATGAGCCACTGATCAGTATCTAAGCCATTCTGGTCTTCCCCAATATGTTGTGTTTCTTGGTCAGGTGCTAGTTGTGTGAGAATTTGGAATCTATTGTGTAACTGCAGCTGAGCGGAAGTATTCTGAGGAGGCTTCCGGGTCCTATGTGTCCTTCTAAGGGTGACATTTCTCCAAGCCTGAGGGTTGTCCACATCTGAGGTGCTGTTCTGTTGAGCCTCCCCGTAATGTTGGTGTGATATGGGCTGCATGTCTAGGCCAGTGTGGTGTGTGGTGTCTAAGAACAGCTCAAGTTCCTGAATGTCCTTAAGGGTCTTAATACGGTCCTCGAGTTGTCGGATCCTGTGTTCCATGCGAGTGATCTGTGTACACTTGGGGCAGATGTAATTGAGTAATTGTAGTGTGAAAAAGCTGAACATGCCACAGCTTGTGCATGAGACGGGATGTTTTCGTGTTTGTTCCATCTGGAGGTTGCTAATGACCTCCTCTTGTGTGTGTTTGATGTTGTCTGTATGCAAGGGTGAAAGTATAGGTTACTGAGTGTACGAGTTCGCGCGCGCCATCAAACAAATGGGTTCCTGCTTCCTCAACTTCTGTGGAAAGCCCAGCTGCCCCTTGGGTTCAGACACTGGTTTATATAGGATAACCAGGAAGCCCCGCCTCTCAAACAAAGCAGTTAATTTTTAAACTCAGGAAGCCCCTCCTCTCAAACAAGCAGCACTGAAAGCAGTTAAATTTAAACAAAGCTTATCCTGAAGCAGAAGGAAACAAAATGGGTTCCTGCTTCCTCAACTTCTGTGGAAAGCCCAGCTGCCCCTTGGGTTCAGACACTGGTTTATATAGGATAACCAGGAAGCCCCGCCTCTCAAACAAAGCAGTTAATTTTTAAACTCAGGAAGCCCCACCTCTCAAACAAAGCAGTTAATTTTTAAACTCAGGAAGCCCCTCCTCTCAAACAAAGCAGTTAATTTTTAAACTCAGGAAGCCCTCCTCTCAAACAAAGCAGTTAATTTTTAAACTCAGGAAGCCCCGCCTCTCAAACAAAGCAGTTAATTTTTAAACTCAGGAAGCCCCGCCTCTCAAACAAAGCAGTTAATTTTAAACTCAGGAAGCCCCTCCTCTCAAACAAAGCAGTTAATTTTTAAACTCAGGAAGCCCCTCCTCTCAAACAAAGCAGTTAATTTTAAACTCAGGAAGCCCCGCCTCTCAAACAAAGCAGTTAATTTTTAAACTCAGGAAGCCCTGCCTCTCAAACAAAGCAGTTAATTTTTAAACTCAGGAAGCCCCGCCTCTCAAACAAAGCAGTTAATTTTAAACTCAGGAAGCCCCTCCTCTCAAACAAAGCAGTTAATTTTAAACTCAGGAAGCCCCTCCTCTCAAACAAAGCAGTTAATTTTTAAACTCAGGAAGCCCCGCCTCTCAAACAAAGCAGTTAATTTTTAAACTCAGGAAGCCCCGCCTCTCAAACAAAGCAGTTAAACTCAAAATGACAGGTAGGTATTTTACTTAAAGGGAATAGCATGACAATTCTTCATTTCTGAAAGCAGCGTATAACATGAAATAAAAATACAGGCTGAGTACCCTTTATGCACAATGTTATTTAAAATATTGTGTATAAAATTATAGCTAAATATCAAAGGTCTTATTAAAATTTAAGAATGAGATATTGAGCAGGTTCTTCTGGGGAAGATATTCATGGCTGCAGTACCAAAGATGTGAACACATAAAGAACACATCTTACATGAAGATATAGTATTCGGCTGTGCTATCTGTCTGGATATTAGAAGAATAAGAAAACTATATTTAAAAAATCAGTAAGACTTTATTCATGTGGGTTACACACACTCCATAGACTCTAATATCTCACAACATAGACAAAACAAAATGACAGGTAGGTATTAAATAACAGCTTTTATAACTCTACCTGTGGAATTCACAATAATGAAGCTTTTCTTTTCCTCGTCTTCCAAAGAAATGAACCAGTAACATGGTATTAATACCACAATCTTCCAATTCTGGCTCCTGAAAAACACATATATGAACCAGCCTTTAAAAAAGCGATTTCACAATTTAATAATAGGATTATTCTACTTGCAGCTAACAATGAAGATTCCACAAAGGAAAACAAAAATGCTTGAACAACTTTTGACTAAGGATCTAACTGGTATTTAAGAATTGAATTAATGTATTTGTGATCTAAAGTGCAACTTGGCGCGCATCTGGAAACACCTATGGTATTTAGTACTTCTTATGGGCTACTAAAATCCTTCTCCAATATGATATATGATTTATTAGAACATGGTCTTTAGTCCTTTTCATCAGATACAATCAAATGTAGGCAAAATCTATCACAATCTGGTAGGACAGATAAAATCCTTCCAACTAAATGCAAACAGTAGGATTTTTGTAAGAGACACCAGGGTTTAATTTTATGAAGTGCGCCTTAGTTCGGTGCTACTAAACCAATCCATGGACTGGTGACAGCCTGTGCACCACTGATTGTGATCTGCGGTGAGTTTTCAAGAAAGAAAGAAAGAACTGTAGCCAGTGAGCAGAAAGATAGTATCAATTCCATGAAACATTGGAATGTCTACCATATCAGATAGCACTGTCTAAAACCCATTATGGTGTCTCTAACGTTAGCCTGTTTCTGGGTATATTTGACCTGGGTATATTTGACCCGGTCAGCTCTACTTTTTGAGATACAGAACATATGGCATCTACCAGTTGCCATCTGCCCACCCAAAGAAAACCATAACCATATCTAAGAAACTAGAGCTGATGTGGTCTATCCAATGCAATTTTCTGAACCAGTGCCCCAAATAACACCAGGAACAGGCCTAAAAACCAAGCCACCAAGATTTTGTTGTTGTTGGGTTGTATAGCACTTGCCACAGTTCATGGAAACTCGTGCTATAGAAACGATTTAGTCTTCAAAATGTCAGAGGAGTCTGTTTTTGTGGCAATGGTTAGCAAGTATTTAAAAGTTGTGAACCTTGGTTAAGATCCCATAGACAAATGTAGTTATCATCTAATGACCAGAAGTAGAAAGTCCAGCTTTCTTCACATCAGCAGACTTCCATGTCATTGAGAGATATGACCAACATACAAATATCATTGTGGGGAGTATCTCTTTAAAAAGTATATTGGAATATAAATACTGAAGAAATTTTGTCTAACTTAAGGTCATTCCCATGAATGATATGGGAGACAGTAACTTTATTTACTATTGTTACTCCCCATCTCCCCTTCTGCTGTCCTCTCTGGAGTTTTCCATTTTGGTGGACATTAGCAGCCATTAGTGGTGCGAACCACAAGAGAAAGCAAAGAACAAGAGGGAGGGAGAAGCAGTAATAATAAGAAGCCTTCAGCATGTTGCTTTGTGTAGTGTAGTATACATGTGTAGGAATAAAACACCTTGCAGCAAATTATATAGAGACTGAGTGGATAGCTATGAGTTTTCCAGGCTGTATGGCCATGTTCCAGAAGCATTCTCTCCTGATATTTCATTGACATCTATGGCAGGTATTTTCAGATGTGATATATAACCTCACCTGCCTAGTTTCCAACAGATCTCACACCTCTTAGGATGCCTATCATAGATGGGGACAAAACATTCAGGAGAGAATGCTTCTGGAACATGGCCATACAGCCCAGAAAACTCACAGCCCCCAAGTGATTCCAGCCATGAAAGCCTTCGACAACACACTGAGTGGATATATCTCACAGTTGAATTTTTACTACCAGAAAAGATAGATCTATTTAAAACAAAACATGTATTTTACTTATCCCAGTTAATTTACCCATTCAGAAGCCTAAAACCACAAAGAGTGCAATATTTCAATGTTTCTAGATATGTCTTTCATCACTTAGGACTAAGTGGTATTTCTGTTAATATAGTTACCCACTAAGCAACATGGAATTCAGAGGAATCTCAACAGTACTGTACTTACGATAACTAAATAGCTGCTACATCTTTTATTCTGCTATAGAGGCAAGATGAAAGACAACATCTACTTATAACATAAAATATTAATGGTGGTTTAGTTTCAGTAGTATGCACAAGATGAGTTATGATCACTGAAAGAGAACACTTTTAAAGCCCAGGTTGCACTCTTGATTTGTTGCATGTCATTACTGATGTTTATAATACTGAATGACTGGATCTATTTTTACAAAGGTTTGGAGGAATGAGAACTTTCCAATTACTGTTTCCTAAGGCGGTACTGAAAATGTTAAACAGATTGAAACACAGAATCAGCCGACCCCACTGGACAGGTGATTTGTGCAGGCTGGAGCTGAACATTTTGAAAATTAGGCAGAAGCACCTTCCACCCATTAAGTCTTTTTATCCACTGCAGATCTAAGCCATTTATGGTGGAAAGGGGAATCTCTACTAACTTTCATTAAACAAATTGCTTAAAAGACATATATCTAGATAACACAACTGAGTAAGTTTGTTGTTATGTGCTGAACCTATCATGAGATTTTTTGGCAAGGTATTTCCAGAATTTCACAGGGTTTTCTTAACTCAGACGTAGTTTTGCTAGTTTGTTTATCTGAAATATAGCCCAGCACCTGATATTTGCTGGTGGCCTCCCATCTAAGTACTACTTAGGGATGACCTCCTTCATATTCTAAGATCAGATCTGGTGGCATTTAGGATATTGGGCCTCATTATTTCTTCCATAAATCAAATTGTCCTACCTTAGGATTCAAGTTTCATTCATGATTAACTCTACTGGCATGTTAAGAAGAAGAATCCTACTTAACATATCCCTAATTCTCAAAAGACTGTCATCTACTGTCTGTAGTTATTTTCAATGCATACAAAGGTGTCTAATAAAATATTGTAATTTTATTTCCGAGTAAACTTTAATCTTTTCTAATTCCAGTCTGTAAGACAATTTATACAATTTGCTTAACGATGCACATTCATTTTAGAAAAGGCTAAGCCTTTATTTTTATTTTTATTATTTGTGGAGAAGGCCCCATGACCTCTATTTTAGCTTTCTACAACTGAGTATCTATAAATCTCCCAATCACAGGTGCAATTGGCGGGGACAAGATATAGGGCTTCTTAATGGTGGCCTATTGTCTATGGAACTCCCTCCTCAATGAGAATGAGATTGGCCTCCTCCCTCCTAGTGTTTATGAAACAACGTAAGACCTGGCTATTCAAGCAGGCATTCAGCGACTGACAGAGATATGGAAATATGGAAGTAGCTAAAGATAACCTCGGGACTGATGGAAGGTCTAAATGGTTTAAGTTGTGTCTGTGATTATTGTTTATAGTTTTAATGGTTTTAATCTATTATCATATGCTGCTGAGTTTATATGTGATGTTTTTATATATGCGAGACATTGAATTTTGCCATTGATTATGCTGTGAATTGCTTTGAATCCCCACAGGGGTGAGAAAAGGAGTATATAATTGCAATAAATAAATAAATCTTCCAAATACGGTTATGACGTAATTAATTTATTCATTGAGGTTTCAGGCTGAAATCTGAGGTACAGTAGAAAACATATTACCTCAAGAATTAGAATAATTTAAGTCTACAGCACATAGAGAAGTTGTGGGCCTTCAGATATGGGTGGAACCCAGTTTCTATCAGCAACAGACTTCTTTATCAATACTGAGGGATGAGAAAAACAGTAGTTCATCCACCAGCTGAAGGTTCCTCACCCATGAACTATAGATTTGTTATTTCAGACATGCAGTCTTGTGTTTGTTTGGGAATAAGTTCCACTGAATTCAACATTGTGCAAAACAGAAGGCTTTAACGGGAATCCTGTTGGCGAATTACATTGATGGTTGTACTTTTTTTTTTCTGACAGTATTATGTAATTTACAGTGGTGGCAAAGGCAGACACAACATTTCTCCAATTGCTTAGTCCCTTCACAGTTATTGCACCCACAGTCTTTTTCCTCCTGCCACCATTGCCTATGTTGGTGTTGTTGCACTAACACAGTGCACGATCAGCACTCCAATTTTTGGTTGGCATTCTGTTTGAAATGAAGTAAAGCATGTAACTTAATTTAATATACAGTTACATATATTTACAAATATTGATGCACCACTTACATGAATATGTCTGAGTAATGCACAAATGTCACTGAATAACAGCTTAACAAATATTGCATACAGCTTAAATTGAAAACAGCATGGCAATGGGGAAAGAACGGAAAAGAAAAACTGTCCTCCCAACAAAAGTTTTTGAAACAAGTGAATACAATGAAACCTATTTTTTAAATAAATAAGCACAGGATTATGTTGCTAATATTTTTAGATTACAAGGTGAAAGTACTTTAAAAATGCTTTGTAAAATAACTTAAAATAATATTTAAAATGAAAGGCACTCCTTACTGTATTTTATCTATGTAGTATTCATGTGAATTTCAGGAATGCTGATAAGGAGTGAAAAAAAAAACATTTTTACACTATGGTTTGAGTCAGCAGTTTAAATATTTCTTAGAAAGTTTTTGATGGCTCAACTGGCATTTGAAAAGCGGAAGAACATTAGTGTATTGCAATGTAGCTTTCAAAGAAATACTCCTGTAACTGGTTTAGTTCAGTTTTTTTTGTCAGGAGTTCCTTGAGAAACTGCAAGTCGCTTCCGGTGTGAGATAATTGGTTGTCTGCAAGGACGTTGCCCAGGGGACGCCCGGATGTTTTACCATTCTGTGGGAGGCTTCTCTCATGTCCCTGCATGGGAAGCTGGAGCTGACAGATGGGAGCTCACTTCACTCCCTGGATTTGAACCGCCGATCTTTCAGTCAGCAGTTCTGCCGGCACAAGGTTTAACCCATTGCACCACCAGGGGTTCGGTTAAGCATAATCTTAGAGCGTTTATTCAACAAATGCTTATGAATACTAAGGTGGTGTGACTACTTATTAAGTAAATGAAATAAATGTGGCTCTCTTAAAAACCAGAACACAAACAAAAGCCAAATATAACTTTTTATGTCATGAAAATGCAAATGTAAAGTCAAAAGATCAGTCACTATTATTTGATTAACCAGAATAGGTAATATGGGTGCAATTGACTATAAGCCAGTTGTTGTTGTTGTTGTGTGCCTTCGATACATTCCCAACCCTAAGACCAACATATTATGGGATTTCTTTGCAAACTTTGTTTAGAGGGGATTTACTATTTCCTTTCTTTGAGGCTGAGACAATATGAATTGTTCAAGGTTTCCCAGTGGGTTTTCCAAGACTGAATAGGGATTCAAATGCTGGTCTCCTAAGTCATACTCTTCTTTTAAAAAATCCTTCTTAGAAGGAAATCAATGGTTTTCTAGAGACTTACCAAAGTTAGTGCCTCCTCTCCTGAAACTTGGTTAAATTCATCTTGTTTTCCAATTATTTTTTGAAGCTGAAACAAAAAATATTCAGTCAATTGTCATCTTGCTTTTTATTTCAGAGTATACATCTCTTAAAGCTACCTCATAATTATCAAAGTCTCCACACATAGAGAGAATAAAAATGCATGTAAGTGTATACATGCAGCCCACATATTGATGGTAACATGGGACAACTGTACATGGACATAAAAGCTGTTGTTAGTCCCAGCTAGAGTAGCCTCAATCAGTTAACAATAACAACTCGATAAGTAAACACTGTTTTCCAGTGTTTAGCAGGTCTAACGCTATGTGTGAATAGAGTTCACATGTCATGGTTTGTACATACGAACTGTAAACTTCTAAGCACAAACTACAAGTGAAGAGATGACATATAGGCTCATATAATGAATGATGATGGGTGTTCACATTAACCTTCCTTACAGTAGGAAGTGGAATGCAAGATGGGAATCAACTTTAAGATCATATATATTACTTCTGATTATACTTCTGATACAGGCTTCCACCTGAGTAACCAGGAGTTGGATCATGTGGTTATAGGAAATGGTTGCTTGTACACTTTCCTCACATTTCTTCACTAAATGTTTCCCAGATCTCCTTGTACCATTGCAATAAACAGCCTAGGCTGAACAGGAGTACTGCCACCCCTCTGAAGACCTATTGTACGGCAATCCTCTTGTTTTTAATCAGAAGTCTCGCAGGTTTTCAGAAATAACCAAATAAGTGGATGAACTATGAAGGAAACCAATAAGGAGTCTTCCCCACTGTTTATTGTGAACAAGTGAAACACAGTATGGCTAAAGAGACAAGACAGAAGTCCCTGTGTCAAAACTTGCTTTTGCTATGAGATCTTACTTGGTGAAGATCTCTGTTGAAATTTTAGGCAAGGTCCCTTTTGTTCCATTTCTGCCTTCCAGTCCATGCCTTGGTTACACCCAGATTGGATTACTGCAATGCACTCTATGTGGGACTGCCTTTGAAGATGGCCCAAAAAATGCAATTGGTACAAAGGTAGGCGGCCAGGCTACTAACTGGAGATAATTATAAGGAGTGCATGACGCCCCTATTAAAGGAGCTCCACTGACTGCTGATAATTTTCCGGTCCCAATTCAAAGTGTAGATGTTTTCATACTTGAATGTTTATTTTATTGTAATTTTGTATTTTTTCTTCATATTATAATTTGTAGTTTGGGCTTGGCCCCATGTAAGCCGCTCCGAGTCCCCATTGGGGGAGATGGTGGTGGGGTATAAATAAAGATTATTATTATTATTATTATTATTATTATTATTATTATTATTATTCTAGGTTATGACCAAAAAAGCCCTAAAAGGTTTGGGCCCTGCCTATCTTCATGACCGCATTTTCCCCTATGAGCCAGCAAAGGGTCTAAGATCTGTGTGGAGGCCCTACTCTCACTTCTACCACCATCACAAGCATGGTTGATGGAGACAAGGGAGAGGGCTTTCTCAGTGGTGCCCCCCGATTTAGATTAGGCAAGCTCCCACACTGACTACCTTTCGTAGGGACCTAAAAACCTGGATGTTCCAGTAGGTTTTCAAGAATGATTAGTCCCTAGGCCCAGTCCCAAAGTCTTCAGTTAGTACTCTGTTCTGCACTTTCTCCACTTCCTTGGCCCTATGATGTGTTGTTGCACTATACCTTGCCCAGTCCTTCTATAGCTGACATGCCAATTTTTTAGTTCTGGCCACTGGTTCTATTCCACCTCATCTGATTGAGTTATAATTGCAATCTGTTCAAACTTTTATTCTTATGTTTTAACAGGATTTTTGTGTTTTATGATTATTTTTTTAATCAGCCTGTATGATTTTCTTCTTGGCAATTGAATGTTTTGCCTTATATGTTGGAAACTGCCCTGAGTCCCTTCAGGGAGATAGGACAGTATACAAACAAACTATTATTATTATTATTATTATTATTATTATTATTATTATTATTATACCATCTTCATATAATTCTTCCTATATGTCTGCAGGGCTCAGTGCAATAAAATTACATGCTTTACCCATGCAGAAAGACTTATGCTGAACCTTTGGCATCTCTGATTAAAGCAGGTAGGATACAGTTATCCCCCTTCCCCCAATAATTTGGTCTTAAAGCTCTCATGATACTTCACCAATGGCTAGAGTTCATGTAATTTGTAAGCCAGAAAATAAAATAAAAATCTGGAAGATCACACTTGCACACGTAATTTACAGGGTGTCAGACCTCAGAACTGGGGGGAGCTGAGACTGCAGCTAGGCAGTACTGAATTAAAGTAGTTTGGCTCTGGACAAAGCAGCTTTATGACATTACTGTAAGGATTATAGAGACAGTGCATGTTAATAATTGTGAATGGAGAAATAGCCCCGTTTAAAAAAAAATCAGAATATGATCTGATAAATCTGTACTCTACTGCCATTTAACAAGTTCAGATCCAGAAAAAGATCTCTGGCAAATTTACCCATTTGCAGCTTACTCTAAATCTCTCGCAAATCATTCTGCAGACTCCTGGCATCAACCTCTCTTACTGAAACGTTTGTAATTACTCACAGATCTGTGTGTGTCTAACAAGAGATTTAGCATAGCACACTGCAAAGCTCACCTACCTCTCAGAGATGTTAGCACCAGTCCTCAAATGGACAGCAAAAATGAAAGAACAAGGGAATTTATTATTTACGACAACAGCATGGATTCAGACCGAAAGCAGAGCATTTAGAGCCGCTTAGGAGAAGTGCTTTTAAAAGAATGTTTATCACAGCGAGACAAGCAGTACATGGTTTTCCTTTTTGAATAATGAAACTGTGCAAGGCTCACAAAGCCTCCTAGTTAAACCTCCACTCTAATTCCTCATGCCATGATAAGATCATGTTTTGGACAGGTTAGGAGAGATGTGGCAGTACAGTATTCCCACTGCACAGCCTGAACCTAGTCATACTAATAGAGTGGTACACACTGAATCTTAAGACGATCAAAATTATCCACCTGATTTGTTACTCTAAGAAAGGCAGGTTGGGTTAGGATATTTTTTCCAGCGTTCCTCCCAATTTTCTAGTCCTATTAAAAAAATAGCTCATCAAAGTAAGAGGAGATAAATGTGCCTGTGGAAAAGCTACCACCATATATTACTGGGAAAAATTAATACATTAAAAGTAGTGTGATGGGACATGATTTGTGGTCCAAGGAATGCATTTCCAGAGAAGTATCCACACTGTAGAATTAATGCAGTTCGACACCACTTTAACTGTCATGACACAATGCTATGGAATCATGAGAGCTGCAGATTTACAAGTGTTTTAATCTTCTTTATCAAAGGGTGTTACTACCTCACCAAATGACAAATCTCAGGATTCCATAGCATTAAGTGATGGAAGTTAATAGTGGTCTCAAACTGCATTCATTCTACAGTGTAGATCCACCCCAAGTCAATTGTGTCTTTGGGTAGTCTTTGGGTAGGTTTAATTACTGTATATACAAGTGTACAAGTAAAAACATTTTTTTCACTAAGAAATTACTTATACAGTGGTCAATGTAAGTACTTACTCGGCAGTGCCTTTTTTAAATGTCTGGGCAGTGTGTGTGGATGTAGTGGTGGACACCAAAATGACTGCCACTGCTTCAATCTCCAGAATCCCCAACCCAATGATACATGGTGTCATCCCCAAGGATCACCATTTGCACCATAATTCCTCCAATGTCTTTGCTTCTTGATAGTGTACTCATAAGTAAGCTACTACCCAGGCTGCCTTTCATCCTATCCACTGCTATGTCCCCAATGTGTCTCCTCCTCAGCCGACAAGGCTGCAAGCTCATACTTCTACTCTGGCACATTCTCTGGCTCCAGGGCTGATAGTGACGTTGCAGAAACTGCTCCTGAGCTGCCTTGGCCACTGCTGTCACTAGCCTTCAGACCATCCTGCTGCCCAGGAGCCAGAAGAGAGAAGCATGGCTCCTTCACTTTAGAAGTTCTTTCTTTTCCTTTCTTTACGTCCCATGCTTATTCCTCATCCTCTCCTTTCTTTTCTCTCACCCTGCCCCCTTTACTCTCTTCTATCTTTCCTTTCTCCAATTGCTGGATGCTGCACACATGCCTCATGCAAATTTGAAACTGGAATTATATATAACTATAGATATTTGTGTGTATATATGTATCTGTATCTGAGAGAAACAGAGAGAACAAGCATGAATGGAGAAAGGTCCCTTAGATGGGAAAAAGAGAGGGGATAGTGCTGGGAGATAAGCAGAATTTGCTGGTGGGACTGGTCTTCTGAGGCAGCACTTGTGCTTTCCCCTCTCCACAGAATGATCCTGGACTTATCCATAAGTCATATATAATTGTCACCTCATATCTTGCCCTGAACTGTTACATGAGTAGGTTGAAGGATAAGCTCATCCTGAGAGGCCCTGCTCTCAGCCTCACCTCTCTTGCAGGTGTGATTGGTGGGTACGAGAGACAGGGCCTTCTCAGTGGTGACTCCTCGACTATTGAACTCCCTCCCCAATGAAATTAGATCAGCGCCCTCCCTCCTGGCCTTCAGAATAAAGGTAAAAACTTGGCTATGGGACTAAGCGTTTGAGCAGTAAGCAATACAAGGAATGATCAGGGATTATGTGCAACTGATATTTGACCTCTGGAACAGCCTTGGACCATGATTTCTGGATTGTGTGATTTTAACGTCTATATTGAAATGTTTTTAACTCCACATTTTAATAAGCACATTTGTTATGCTTCATTTCTTTCACACTAGAATTGAAGTAGTTTTATCTCTGCAGAAAGTCTTAAAAGCAGAATACAAATTACATGCAAGCTAACTGATGGTATTTTGTTTTGAATTAAAGCATGTATGTTGTATCATTAACAAAAACATAAAAATGGGCATTTAAGAAATATAAACAACAAAAAGCTTCTGTTTGTTCTCTGTGTGTACAATTGTGCATAAATTCCACACACATATTATCAAAAATCTGAGGACCTTTAAATTAAATACACTTTTCACCTTAGCGTGCGATACTAAAGCACCACCCTTGACTAAATTAAGCAAAAGGAAGGGCAGGTTTTGTCATACATTCCTTGTCACCTGTGACCAAATGCAAAAATACCTTATCTGGTTTACAGTTAAAAGAGTGATCTCAGCTTAACTCAGAACTTTTTAAAATGCAGGAGGTTTTAATTTCCTTGGTAATTCTATCAAGGATGTGATCTTTGTGAGTAAAGCAGATGAGGAAGGGATATTCTTCAAATGGCCGCACCTTTCATTTGGTAGTGAGATGGAATTCCAAACACAAGAAATGAAAAGGTTGTTTTAAAAAAAAGATGGTCATACCTTAAAGAATTCCTTTTTCTCCACTTGTTCATTCCCATCTGCATCCAACATTTTAAAAGCAATATGAAATCCAGTCTGTGGTTCTGCAATGAATCATAGCATACAGATTAGTTCAGAAATATTTTATATGCAAGGCAATACCACTTGCTACTCAACTTCCACATAAATAAGCAGATGCCTCAGTTTCATATAAAGGCAGAGGGGTCACATCCAGCTATATAGGGAAATCTTCTGAAATCTTTGAGAAGTATTGAGAACTTAAAACAAGTTTGTTCTTTATTATTATGAACAGGAATTAAAATGCAAATGACTTGCAGCAAATAAAAGCAGACATTTGAAACATCTCTTAAAGGATCAGAGCATTCAAACTTAACCAGTCTATATCAACAATATGCCAGTACTTCAGCTAAAACACAACATCTTTACTGGTGCAGCGTACAGGGAACATACAACCTCATGTTACATCAGCTCCACTGGCTGCCAGTCTGATACCAAGCACAATTCAAAGTGCTGGCTTTAGCCTATAAATCCCTAAATGGTTCTAGCCCAGTTTATCTGTCCAAACGCATCTCCCTCTATGAGCCAGTATGGGCATTAAGATCTTCTGGGGAGGCCCTCCTCTCGGTCCCGCCTCCTTTGCAGGTACGGTTGGTGGGAACGAGAGGCAAGGCCTTCTCAGTGGTGACCCCTCAGCTGTGGAATTTCCTCCTCAGTGAAATTAGATCAGCCCCTCCCTCTTAGTCTACAGAAAAAAAGCAAAGACATGGCTGTGAGACCATGCCTTTGGTCAGTAAAGTGATGCAGTGCAAAAAATGAATAAAGAATATGTACAATTGACAAATGAAATGGCTATGGATTACAATTTTGGATTGTGTGATTTTAATGTATATACTAAGTTTTAATTTTTTTGTCTTAATGCTGAAATGTTTGTTTATGTCTCAAGTTTTAATATGGTCAATGGTTTTAATTCACAGTGTTTAGATATTGTTTAGATATTAAGTTTTGGTTTTCACGTGTATGTTTGGCATTGAATTTTGCCAGTATAATGTTGGAAACCGCTTTGAGTCCCCCGGGGTGAGAAAAGTGGTATAGAAATGCAGCAAATAAATAAATAAATAGGCTGCATTTTAAAAAGTAGCATAAAGGTATATGGGAAGAAATAAGGTACTGATGTAGACTTTTGGTATTAGATATACATATCCCTTATCTGAAATTCCAAATTCCGAAATCCTCCAAAATCCAAAATTGTCCATCTGGCAGATGAGATAGTCACATCTTTGTTTTCTGATAGTTTGATGTACCATCAGAACACTATTTCATGAAAAAAATATTAAAATTATTGTATACAATTATCCTCAAATTATGTGTACCAAATGTGTGTGAAACATAAATGAATTTCGTATTCAGGCTTGGGTTCAATTTCAAACATATCTCATTATGTATGTATATGCAAATTACACACAATACAATTTTTTAAAATTCCAAAATCCAAAACACTTCTGGTATCAAGCATTTTGGATAACGGATACTCAACCTGTAAGTATTTGAACCAAATCATATTGCACATAGTTTTTACGTAGTTTTCCAGTATTATATGCAGTTGCTACAATTAAACATGCTACAAACTGTTAGTCCTTTTAAGAGGATTAATAAGACGATTTTCAGTTGGGAATACATAATGTTCAGAATCTATCTGAAAATATTTCAGAAAGAGGACTGTCACAGCCTGGAGAATCCATTCAGAAGGACTGAGGATGATAGCTAATTTATTTTCAACTGAATGTTTCATTCTAAACATTTTAAGTCAGTAAAACTATGTATGCAGTCTATATTACAAGAGAATAAAAGCAGAATGATTTGTTCTAAAGTGATACATACCATCTGTTGCAACAAACTGATAAGGAGGTAGCCCCACGTAATACATAGGAGCTAAAGCTGTTCATACAGCTCACAAGATGGCATTCTTATCTGATATGATGCAACTCCAGTGGTATGTATTTATAAAATAAGTGGGGTTCAAAGAAAAGCGCTGCACACTTGCAGTTAATTACCCAGACAATAACTAATGTTGAAAACCGTGCTGGTTGTTAATAGGAGCTAGATTTGGATACTATCTATGAAAAGAATGCTTCCCTTTTCCAAAGGAAAAAAACCCCTCTCAAATGTGATTACTGAATCGACAAGGCAATCCAAATTAACTTAAAAGCTACACAGCATTTCTTTTAGAGCAGAAAACATCTTAATCATTCTTTAATACAGAAATGAAACAGGTATCTTAAGGAAGGGATCTTTCTCATTTGTTTTAATAGGTGCTGGAAAGCATATCTTGTGGGAACAGAACTTTTCTTGATAACAGAAAGGATCCTCAAGCGAATGGCAACCACTTCAAGGATAAGCTCATGCTCTCTTCAGATCATTCTAGAGCAGTGCAAAGAAACCCTCTATATTTAAATCCCTGCACAAAAGTAAAAAGGTTTATTTTAAATACAAGCAAGAATGCTAAGAGGGGGAAAAATCAGGAAAAATGAAAGGGATCAAATTGGGAAGAGAGGAACCAGAATCATAGAGTTGAAAGAGACCTCATGAGCCATCCAGTCCAACCCCCTGCCAAGAAGCAGGAAAATCAAATTCAAAGCACCCCCGACAGATGGCCATCCAGCCTCTGTTTAATCACTTCCAAAGAAGGAGCCTCCATCACACTCTGGGGCAGAGAGTTCCACTGCTGAATGGCTCTCACAGTCAGGAAGTTCTTCCAAATGTTCAGGTGGAATCTCCTTTCTTGTAGTTTGAGGCTATTGTTCTGCATACTAGACTCCAGGGCAGCAGAAAACAAGCCTGCTCCCTCCTCCCTGTGACTTCCTCTCATGTATTTATACATGGCTATCATGTCTCCTCTCAGCCTTTTCTTCTTCAGGTTAAACATGCCCAGCTCTTTAAGCTGCTCCTCATTGGGCTTGTTCTCCAGACCCTTGATCATTTTAGTCAGCCTCCTCTGGACACATTCCAGCTTGTCAATATCTCCCTTCAATTGTGGTGCCCAGAATTGGACACAATATTCCAGATGTGGTCTAACCAAGGTAGAAAGAGGGGTAGCATGACTTCCCTGGATCTACACACTATACTCCTATCGATGCAGGCCAAAATCCCATTGGCTTTTTTTTTGCTGCCGCATCACATTGTTGGCTCATGTTTAACTTGTTGTTCACGAGGACCCCAAGATATTTTCACACGTACTGCTTTCGAGCCATCCTAGCCAAGAAATATTTATAATGTTTCAGATTGTTTGTGTTGACACAGATTTTGTATGTCATGATCAATATACTACTGAATTTTCTGTATCTTTGCATTTCATTTTTTCTGTCTAAGTGGAGTATCTTGCTTTTGTCACTGTTGAACTTCATTTTCTTAGTTTTGGCCCATCTCTCCAATCTGTTAAGATCGTTTTGAATTCTGCTCCTCTCTTCTGTGGTATTTTTAAACAGAACATCATATCTACAGTGCTTTAATACAATCAGCAAGATTGCCCATCATTCACTAAGAAAACAAAAATATATTAATAAGTTGGGGTGAGAAGGCTGGAAAATAAATATTGTAAATAAATAAATAACTTCATTCAGCTACTGTAGTAGTTAAATCTTTACACAATAAGCCAAAAAAGAAATCGAAAAGGAAGGTATTGGTGTGGAAAAGTTCACAGAATTGAGGATGTATGTTCTCCACTGTCATTGCTGACGTTATGGTCACTCCCCTGACCACTTCCCACAATCAAAGATGGAAAAGCCATGTTTGCTGGTGCTCCCAGGATTGCACTGCTAGCTTACAATGCATTTCCTTCATTAAGTGATATGCTGAGAGGATGGGAGGAAAAGCAAAGACATTGTCATTTAGAGTACCTAAAAGCAGGAGTCTTTTCCCACGACCAACCTAGGCCCACATCTGCCTTATCTTCTTCACCGTTGACAGGGGGGAGAAACACATTAGTGCCTGATCAAGGAAATGGAAATTGCTGAATGCTCTACTCCTAATGGACAAGATTCATTAAATTTCAAGTTATGTACTGGTTACCTTTTTGAAGAGAGGTACTGGGATTCAAGTCTGCCTCAAATAAATCTATTTTATAGTTCCATGGGAGTAGAGGAGGAGAAATAGCAGCAGCACAGCTACTAAGGCAGCTGCTTTGAATGATCTAGTAGCGTCTAATAAACTACTAGGATTTCATAAATATAAACTTCAAAACTATGGTGTATCAAGAAAGGAACATAAAACCTGTTAGATGCAGATGGAGATACTAGCACCTGTTGACATTTTCTTTCAAAATGATTGATATGATAACTCAAAACAATAGGGGCACTGGATTTTTCTCCACAGACAGAGTCTTCTTTGTTTTTGGACATTCAATCAATTTCAAATACCAAAAAAATAATCCCACCCAGTTCTTTTTTTTTAAAAAAAATGCGAAAGAGATTGTCTGGGTGCCACTTAAAGTTCCTCCTTTTCAGTGTATGAATATTGGTTACCTTATTGCACTGACCCTAAAAATTCCAAAGCTTCAATGTCATTAACCAATCCATTTTGAATTCAAATTATGGAAAAAGGCTGTTCATATTTAGCACACAAAAATGAGAGAAAGGAATCGCAATCCCATCAAGGATGCTATGATAATGGGAACCGGTGAACTAAGTGAGTGTAAGGGAGGCCAGGCGTCTTTGTGCTGTCACTAATTCTGCCTTGAAACTCTGAGAACTCCAACAGCTTAACTGCAGATTGCTTCCATGCCCAACAGTGCTGCTGTTGAATATCAAGATAGTAAATAGAAAGACAATGACCTAAGACTGAGTATGTATTCTAGTATACATACTATGTGTACCTGAAACCTGGCTTCACGAAGAAAAAGGCACAATTCTCAGATGCATATATCTAGTTACTAGGCAAAACATCAATCCCAGCTTAGTGGAGGTTTCATCTTCTTCTAGGCCTAAATATGGTGGAGCTGTGTCTGCATCATCCATAATCAGGGCAGTGGCAGTTAGGATGGATGAAGAGCCTTTCATATGCTTCTGGGCCTAGATATTGTGGAAGTCTGCCAGGATTGGGGCATATTTATTTATTTATTTATTTATTGCCCTCATATACTGCTTTTCTCACTCCTGGGGGGGACTCAAAGTGATGTACATCAAGTAATGGCAAGATTCAATGCCAACATATATACAAAACCAAAGCATAATAACTAAGATGATAACATAACTATAAATTATGTTAGAAATATGGGTTTACCACAGGCATGGGCAAAATTCAGCCCTCCATGTGTTTTGGACTTCAACTGCTACAAGTTGAAATCCAAAACACCTGGAGGGTCGAAGTTTGCCCATGCCTGGCTTACCATATGGAAGGAAGATGTAGTCCCCACTGTAACTAACGAGACCCATTGATGTTAAAATCCTTTTAGGATTTGATTCTAAGCAGATTTTCCCCTTCATCAAGTATACTCAGGTTGAAATTTTTTCGAAGAGGTTAGTGTGTTGTAGCAAAATAAAGAGACTTCTGTGGCACCTGTTATACACAAAGGTGCCACAACACTCTTTTTTACTCCAGAGTAACAGAAGGAGAAAGCCAGGTCTTCTGTGATTGATACTGATCAGCTTGATCCACTTGTATTTGAATTCTGGCCTATTTTGTTTGCCAAGCTTACTTATCTTTAAGAGAGCCATGGGATACAACTATTATTCCTTCTGGATTCCTGAGTAACTATGAATCATGATATCCCCTGGGCTGCCTGGCCAGAGTAGGACTGGGACAAGGCCATCGTGTTATGATGGCTTTCAACAAGGACATATCTAAAACTTGGTGCTTCTGTTCTATGTCTTAGTGGATGCCTCCAGTTTGTATTCTACTACCCCACCTCCAAACATTGGTCATGCTCTTTAACATTTACATAAAACCAGCAAATAAGTCATTTGAAGGTTTGGCTATAGTATTACAACTACTACATAATTCTGCCTCTCTTTTTTGACAACTGATTCCAGGGAGGCTGAGGAAATCTTGGAAAAGGATTGTGTCTGAGGCAGATGAGTACAAGTAACTTTGTTAATTATATGGAGATTCCCAAGATTCAAACCCAACTTCAATCGACACATTCTCCCCCAACCACATCCTGAACAAGGAGTTAGTGTTTAAGACATCTAGTTCAAAGATCAGAAAACAAGTTTACTGTGAAGGTTTAGTTTGACATGACACAGAAGAGGATTCTCTTAATACAAGATTGAGCAGTCCTGGAGAGTCTACATTATTTAGGCAAAGGGAAAATATTTCTTACATACATTGGCTTTATAGACCCTTGTAAAACATGTTTGTGTGGTCGCATATTTCCTCCACATTTTGGTTTGACGAGTCTCCAGAATATCAGCTTTCATTTTTTAAAAAGCCAACAAAAACATGATCCTTAGCTTTTATAGCTACTTAGCTAACCTTCAAAACATGACTCAGGAGTAATTAAAATCACAGTCTAAGTCTAAGACAGCTTAGAAAGAATAGCTCTTAGGAGCCTCTACCACAGTGGTTCTCAACCTGGGGGTCCCCAGATGTTTTGGCCTTCAACTCCCAGAAATCCTAACAGTTGGTACACTTGCTAGGCTTTCTGGGAGTTGTAGGTCAAAACACCTGGGGACTCACAGGTTGAGAACCATTGCTTTCCCAATATTTCATTTCAGAAGCACTCACAGACACAACTCACCAGACACTAAACCATGTATCTGATTAAGATTACATTCATCAACAGGCCTGGATATGCTATGCACGATGTTAATGCAAAGTAGCTGATGGCTTAACAATACAGGGGAAATCAAAGAGGTGGACTAAAGAGAGACTTTACCTGATTAACACATTACCCACAGATATGGCTACCACCACATCTATACTTATTGACACTCAAGTATCTTAACATTTAACACGTCCTTCCACTCATGTGGTTTATGACAGAAGCTTTATACTTGGGGGACTTAGAGGTGGAAGCAAGAGGCATAGTAACTACCTCATGGTTTCAAATTATTTGTCTATCTAGTCCTCCATTAATCTTGTCCATTTATTGTAATTATTTACACTGCTGCTCTAGGGTCTCAGATAGAGAAACTTTTCCATTACTTTCTAACTGCTATTTTTGACTGGCTTAAGACAAAACCTGGGATCCTCTGCCACTGAGTTGTGGCTTTCCCCCTAAATTATGTCAAAAAATGTTCAAATCAGGTTTAGCTGGTCCTAATTCACAGTATCAGTTTACATTGATGAATTCTTACACAAAAGAAGGTTGAGGTACAAATAGTTAAAAAAAATCGAACATTTGCTTCTTGAATCCTGTAGTTGGACTATTTTTCTCTTATCTGCTGTCAGTTTAAAGTGGTCTTGATAAAGACTGATGGTGTTCATCCATTTGTGGAGGAAAGAAACACACCTCCAGGTTAAAATGTTGTAAAGCAGTGGTTCTCAACTTGTGGGTCCCCAGGTATTTTGGCCTTCAACTCTCAGAAATCCCAACAGCTGGTAAACCAGCTGGGATTTCTGGGAGATGTTGGCAAAGACATCTGGGCACCCACAGGTTGAGAACTACTGCTGTAAAGCAGTAATTTTGGGTTGGAAGGATTAGCCGTTTATAAGAAACGTTGCCCAGGGAATGCCCGACTGTATTTACTCAAGTTTGAGGAGGCTCTTTCCATGTTTTTTCTGTCTATTTTTTTTGTCTAAAACTGTTCACCTGCTTTTGCTCCCTTTATTTTATCACTTTTATACTTATTTATTTGTGCAGTGCTTTTGATATGAAATAAATAAATAAAATCTGCTATCAGTTGCAATAATTCATGGTATATCCTAAGAATAAGCAGTAAGAAGTGATGATTAACTATCAGTAAGTAGAACTACACCTGTAGGTTCTATTTGTTGAGACTGGAGTGGGCAATTTGTGGCCCTCCAAATGCTGCCGAATTGCAACTTGGTCTCTTTTAGCTCTATGATTAATATATGACTTCTGAGAGATCCAGAGGTCTTTGGACTAGCAATCCTATGAAATGTTGACAAACCAAACCAAACAAACCAATTACATAAAGGAAAAGAAGTCTTTAATGGCAACTTTTTTTCTTCAATTCCCTCAATAACAACCTTGGGTAAGCTATACACAATAGGGAATCACTACAGTACTTTGTTATAGGACCTTAATTGTTCAACGTGATAGGTTACTCATGTAGTTATGAACTTCAGCAGGGTCATCAAATTTAAGATATTGGTCTATACATACCTGATACTCCTTCAGTTTGAAAATATTTGTAAAATTTGGAGACACAGACCATTTTAACTCTTTCCCACAACACATGTGCTTCAAGGATATATGGATTATTGAATGCAGTGTCATAAGAAAACATATTCATGATGTAGACAACATCAGTTGCTGTACTGGGTAACAGATGACATGCTCTCATTTATATAGCCCATATATTATAAATCTCTTCAGTGCTCTTTGGTCATCTCATTCATTTACTTCCACAAAATGAGGAAGCATCCTCATGCATAGAAATATGTTTATTCAATGCAATGTACTTAAAATATTTTCTTCAGGAGGACTCTTAGCATCCAAGAACACCTCCTTATCAGAGAAATGTATTTGCCACAAGTATTCTACAAACTTCAATTGAGCAGGAACATCTATTCAATTGTGATTGCCTTTGTTCTAAAGCTTGTCATGACTGTTCAACCACATCATTACCTACTGACATGCTAAAACCAAACTTTTGTCAAGTGACACAAGATCCATTTACTTTACATTTTTCTTGTAACTCAAGATGCAGCTGGATGCCGCCCTAGGCTTGGATTATGAATACTGGTAGCTCATAGTGTGCAGTTCATATGGAAAATAAGCATTATGATCCTAAGCCCTTTCGAACTGGGAACTTCTCATTCTCACTTGCTTCCATACCTCCTTCGTGTCAGCGTCAAATCCCCCTCCATCAATTTGTTAGCGCTACTGTAACAGGGCAAGCTCCTGGGAAAATTGCCGGAGGGACAGGAAATTCCCTCTTCTTCATGCTTCTGAGTTAAATCTGTATTTACTAAATAACATAAATTGTCTTGGAAGAACATGAGTTATTTTCCAGCTTCAGGGGAAATAGTTCAACACAGTTAAGGCTGATTTCAGGATAACTATTTCATGTATGCATTGCCAATTACTATGCTAACAGCTTTGTTTCTTCATTAACTGAACTCTGAAATTGTAATATGTTGTCATATTTTTTTCAAGCAAACTGAATTTATACGCTACAGTGTATGAATACTACAATATACTTACTTGTGAGTATTGTCAGCAAAAACAGGTACTCTGTGTAGGATATCAACCCTGAAGAAAACAATAAACAGTGAATGTTGTAAAATATAAACATTATAAGCTCTATTTAAAGCACAGGTTGCACAATATGACTTCCTTGTAACAATTCTTTATCTCAATGTAATGTATCAGCTAAAGCAGCATTTCTCAACCTAGGGGTCGGGATGCTTGTGAGGGGGAGGTCACAAGGATATGTTAGAGGGATTGCCAAAGACACAGTATTTTTGCTGTTGATCACGGGGGTTCTTTGTGGGAAGTTTGGCCCAATTCTATCGTTGGTGGGGTTCAGAATGCTTTTTGATTGTAGAGGAATTATAAATGCCAGCAACTACAATTCCCAAATGTCAAGGTCTATTTTCCCCAAACTCCACCAGTGTTCGCATTTGGGCATATGGAGGATTTGTGCCAAGTTTGGTCCAGATCCATTATTGTCTGAGTCCACAGTGCTCTCTGGATGTAAGTGAACTAAATGTAAAGGTGAAGGTTTTCCCCTGACATTAAGTCCAGTCATGTCTGACTCTGGGGTGTGGTGCTTATCTCCATTTTTAAGCCTAAGTCTATAGACACCTCCAAGGTCATGTGACCGGCATGACTGCATGGAGCGCCGTTACCTTCCTGCTGAAGCAGTACCTATTGATCTACTCACATTTGCATGTTTTCGAACTGCTAGGTTGGCAGAAACTAAGACTGATAGCAGAATCTCACACCGCTCCCCGGAATCGAACCTGCAACCTTTCGGTCAGCAAGCTCAGCAGCTCAGCACTTTAACCCACTGTGCCACCAGGGGCTCCTGTAAGTGAACTACAACTCCAAAATTCAAGGACCATGCCCACCAAACCCTTCCAGTATTTTCTGTTGATCATGGGAGTTGTGTGCCAAGTTTGTGTGCCAATGGTGGTTCAATTCCACCATTGGTGGTGTTCAAAATGCTCTTTTATTATAGGTCAACTATAAATCCCAGCAACTACAACTTTCAAATGACAAAATCAATCCTCCCCCAACCCCAACAGTGTTCAAATTTGGGCTTATCAGGTATTTGTGCCAAATTTGGTCCAATGAATGAAAATACATCCTGCGTATCAGATATTTACATTTTGATTCATAAGAGTACCAAAATTACAGTTATGAAGTAGCAACAAAAATAATGTTCTGGTTTGGGATCACCACGACATGAAGAACTCTATTAAGTGGTCATGGTATTAGGAAGGTAGAGAAATACTGATCTAAAGGAAGTAATAGGTATTATTTATCAGTCAAGTCAGACTTCCCTGTTTCCATTTCTATCTTTCTGACAATGAACTGCTTCCACAATGCCTTTTACGTTGATGTCTCATTAGGAGACTTGGGTTTATTTGGTATTAATAAAAGGTCTGCACTAAATCTTTCAATTTTTACAGAAAATATTCAGTGTTTATACAAAGGATGAATAAATTAAGTGTGCTTTGTCATATTTAGTACCTGGGAGGAGAGCTACTCTAAAGTTACTCTGAAGGATCAAAGTATTTCATCCTTTGGCGGTCTCAGAAAAGTGAAGACCAGATTTTCTCTCCGTCTCAAGGGGGATATGGCAACACAAAGCTGCCAAGCTGCTAGATTGTGCTGATAGGGCTGCTGGGCCCGAAGCCAAGAAGAGGCTACACTTAGGGAAGGAAAAAAAGAAATCTGAACACGTCCTTTCTGCAAGGTGAAAGTGTTTTTTTCTCTTCCTTTTTGAAGGAAAATTCCAGCATTTCCCTTTGAAAGGCCGACTTAGACAAAGGGGCTCAGCAAACACAAAGATGCAACAGTGTCAAAATAGCAAAATGCCAGCTAAAGATAGAGAAGTATATAAGGAATATCGTTCAAACAAAAAGAATCTGAAGTATGCCTCCCAGAAGAGCACTTTGAGGATTGGTGGGGGCAGGGGAAAGTCTTTAAAAAGTAACAAAAGAAATGCAAGCTACTTTTAACATGTGAACGAAAATCCATTGTGCATAATGGAAGAAATGGTTGAAAGCAGATGTTTGAACTCCCCTATCCACAGGGAAACAATTTCTATGATTTACATTTAGCTAACTGATAGGCAGAGTGTTCCCCAGACAGTAGTTTGCCAGAGGTGATTCAGAACTGATTTGAAAATATCTACTACATTCAGAAATATTTCCTACATTAATTGGAAGATGTGTAAATACTCTGCCACTAAAATCCGCTTATCAGTTTAGATTTGTAAGATAAACACTAAGACAGTGGTTCCCAACTTTCCTAATGTTATGACCCCTTAATACAATTCCTCATGTTGTGGTGACCCCCAAACATAAAATTATTTTCGTTGCAATTTCATAACTGTAATTTTGCTATTGTTATGGATTATAATGTAAATATCTGATATACAGGATGTATTTTCATTCACTAGACCATATTTGGCACAAATACCTGATACGCCCACATTTGAATATTGGTGGGGTTGGGGGGGACGACTGATTTTGTCATTTGGGAGTTGTTGCTGCTGGGATTTATAGTTCATCTACAATCAAGGAGTATTCACAACCCCACCAACGATAGAATTGGGCCAAACTTGGCACACAGAACACCATGACCAACAGAAAAGAATGTGTTTTCTGATGGGCTTTGGCGACCCCTCTGACATCCCCTCGTGACCCTCCCAGGAACCCTGACCCCAGGTTGAGAAACGCTGCACTAGGACCTTCATCCCCATCCTGAACAACCCTCTGTACAGTATGCAGCAAGACATTTTTCAGTCTGTCTCAGCCACCTCATATGTCAGGATAAATAAAAGTGGTCACATGTGTGTATGACTGCAGCATATATTCAACTTTAAATTAATGTTCAAGGCATTTTTTTGTGTGATCCTCCCGCAGAGCTTCTGAAACATTTCTAAGCTCAGAACTCAATGGGCACTTCAGAAAATGATATTCTTGCTGAGATATATATTCTATTTCAAAGGCAGAAAAGTAACTAAGAAGGAAGTTGGACTACTGGATGTCAATCAAGTTAAAGAAGTATAGGATAAAGAAAGGTAAGAGACAAGTTAAACGAATGATCAGTCTGTTTCTAATGAAGACAGTGCAGGTAAAAGGTACTGCTACACATGCCTAAAATGACATTTTTATGAAAAGACATTCAGGAACTGATGCAAAGAATAGCAAATATACATATATATGAGATTTTAGACTTAGAACAGACACATCTCTAGGTCAAAATGGGTTATTTTCTAAATTGGTGTATGATGTTTTTAGTTGATTATGTCTTTTATGTATTGATGTATATGTAATTATATCTTTTAATACTTTGTATGCCGTTTTGAATCCCACACACGGGAAAAAGAGGGATAGAAATGAATAAATAATAATAATAATAATAATAATAATAATAATAATATCAACAACAACTATAGGTCTAGGTTGTTGTAGGTTTATTGGGCTATATGGCCATGTTCTAGAAGCATTCTCTCCTGACGTTTCACACCTAGCTCCAACAGACAAGAGTTCTTTCTCTCACCCTGGACATTTCACAGATATATAAATCCAATTTTCTTAGTTTCCAACAGATTTCACAACCTCTGGGGATGCTTGCCATAGATGCAGGTGAAATGCCAGGAGAGAATGCTTCTAGCACATGGCCTTATAGACCGAAAAACCTACAACAACCCAGTGATTCCAGCCATGAAAGCCTTCGACAATACAATAATAGGTCTAGATTGTTTCAGATAAATTGAGTGAAAGCATCATATGAGTCAAAATTACTGTGCATGTAGAAGGATAAACCTCTCTGAAGCATAATCGACATTGCTTCTGCAAAGGTAAGTTCTGTCTTACAAATCTTCAATGATTCATTGAAAATGTCAGTAAACATGGCCTCTAGGGTCATCATTCGATCATTTATTGGATCTTTAGTTTACCTTTCTCCCTGAAAGTGGAATTTGAGATTTTGTTTAGTCTGATAACTAACTAAAAGAATTGGAAGCAGAGAGCGAGAAATAAAAGGCAATTCTCAGAATGGAGGAATGTAAACTACAGGATTAATCTGAGATTGTATTGAGATCAGTGCTTTTTAATCTGTTCATAAATGATATGGACTACTGGATCAGAAGCTCAGCAGCTCAATTTGCTGATGACAAAGAATTGTTTACCGCAATTAAAAGAAAAACAGAAAATATCCAGAATCAACTGAGATCTGAAAATCAAAATGGCTAATCAAGTTCAGTGAAAACAATTGTTAAAAGATGCAAATTGAAACAAAAAAATTATATTCCCAAATTCATAATATTTACTTATGGTCTGACCTGGCTGTGAGTGACAAGCATGGGTCTCGGGAGTTATAGGGAATAGCTGAATATGGAAAAGGGATGCAGGAGATGTTTAGAAAAGGAATATTAAGTAGACTCTGGCTATTGCATATCAAAACTGGATACTGGAAGATTAGAAGAATGGTAGTCATCCTAAGTATAGGTTACTCTCCAGTGTTAGGGGACAGCGCTTCATAGTGCCAGTTGCTATGCCTATCAGCTCCTCATAAGTATATTATTGGCCAATAAAAAATGGATTAAATAGAAAAAAAAATGTGTCAGACCAAGGAAGATCTGATCTAGAAAGGCTATTCTTATTTTTCTCATGATGAAGTTGCAAAATTCAGCATTTTCTGCAAGCTGCTGTGTGGTAACAGGCCTTTAAACATTACATAACCACTGCCATGTGAACTCATGGTATTCCTATAATGTTAATTTTTTAATTTAGTTTGGGATTTTCAGCCAGTTTGATACCCTAAGAATCCTAACATTTCCTTACCTCATTCTGCTACACATGGCTTTCACTTACACTGCATAGGATTGAATGTGAAAACTGATAGTCATGTGGTTACTGTTGAGCTAGAACACAAACTTGTATCTCAGTTCAAGCTGAATACACCTCCAGACCATTTTGGAAATAATTTCAGTGGAAGACAGATTTTTATAAGCCTCATATAGCAAAGCAGTGTGGAAAGGTGTACTCTTGGGTAGTACTGCTCCTGAATTCATCTCCTTCCAATGAAATAATACCATCTTATACTTAAAATGATGAACTCCCTGGCTATTTGCAGTTTCACATTGCAATACAGCAAGAAGCCAGTGTAAGAAAAAAGTTGTGCAGTAGCATATTTTACATTTTTCTTGTTTCTAGCTGATCATATTAGGGTCAACATACACCTGGCTGATTCAAAACACATTTTTATTGTGGAATCAGTTCCATAACAGATCATCTCACTTTTACTTAGCTATACCACAGACTCAGCAGATATTTTTAACCAAAGTTAAACTGAATTCCTTTTTGGAATGTGTTTTAATTCCAAAATGGATAATATTAATTTTATATATAGGCAAAAGGAGAAAACTGAAAAAAGGAGAAAAGAAATCACATATACATGTAACTTTTATTTACAACTCGTTTGCATACAGTAAGATAACATCATTACACTTATGAACTGGGCAATCTTTTAAAGCAAATCCATCTAGCAACTCCAAAATATATGCATTCTAATATCCCAGGTTCAATATCCCTTATCTGAAATGCTTGGGAACATTTTTTTAAAGATTTTGGATTTTTTTCCTCATATTGGAATACTTGTGTTTGCATATATGTATATAATAAGATATCTTGGAGATGGGACCCAAGTCTAAACACGAAATTCATTTTTGTTTCACTTCCATCTTGTACACAGAGCCCAAAGGTAAATATTTTAAATAATTTTGTGCATGAAACTAAGTCTGTATATAATGAATCATCAGAAAGCAAAGCTATCCATGTGGACAATTTCAGATTTTGGAGAAGTTTGAACTTCAGAATTCCACATAAGGAATGTTCAACCTGTATATAAATCAATAATTGTAGATACTATTATGAAATGGAGTTAAAGAGAACCCACTAGGAGGCACAATTGTCTTCAACCCAAAGCTAGTGAATGTTCACTCTTTACACAATGAACTGGGATGGGAAGGAAGCAACATGAACAGCATATTTATTTAAAAAGTGTGGACTCAAAATCAGCTTCTGCTTCTACATCTGTAATGCACAAATAATGAAAATAAACAATGAAGTAAAAGTGAAGTGTTGTGATGAAATCCAAGTTATAGGCAGTCCCCTAGTTACAAACATCTGACTTACAAATTATTCATAGTTAAGAACAGGGGTGAGACAACAGAAAAATCTATCTCTTGGAAGAGAAATTCACTCCTGAAAAAGTTATCATGGGGGAAAGGTGTCTCAACTGAAGCTTTATCACCAATCCTTGTTTCAACAACAAGTCAAATTTGTCAAAATACAATTATCACAGAGGCAGATAGTGAGGTGAAATCTTTTGACCAGGGGTACAGACACCAAAACAAACACCAGAGGGGTGTTACCCCTTCCCTATGCTATTCAAAGCCTATATATCTATATCTATATGGCTGGAGTTACACTGAAAAAACGTATCGTACCTGTTCTGACTTACAAACTTAAGAACCTACAGAACCAATCTTGTTCATAACTTGGGGACTGCCTGTATATTCAAACAGCCTGAGAAAATTAAGCACACATGTGAGAAACTAGGTGATTCCATGCTTCTACCTGTCAAATCAGCAGCTCTATAAAATGGAGATCCATCGACATCATCCTGCCTATACAAAGATCACAGATTCACAAAAACATTTTAAGAGAACAGAAAATGGAATTAAAAAGTACCCGTGGCTGAATGTTCTGTCGACTGGCAATGGGACTAGTTTTCTAGGAAGGCATATTACTTTCCCCTCTGCTTCTGTCTTCATTTTGAATGGCCTTTTATATGTGTGCCATACCTTTTGTGTAGGTGTTCAAGCAGCTTTACCTCATTACTGGGAATATCCCCTTTGTGATTAATTTAATTTAATTCAATTCCATAAAGCCTTAAAATTAAGCAAAGGTTCCATAAATTGAAGCTTCCTCTTTAAGAGTGAACAGAATTTTCCAAGAATTCTACTAATGGCATAAACCATTACCTTTATCTCCGAGGTCTCTAAAAAATGTTGGCCCTGGTTTAGCTTTTGCAACGTTTGCAAGTGCAGAATCTCTCTCCTTTAAAAAAGCCAAATAAACAGCAAGTCAGTTGTGAGAAAGGAATCCATTAAAACAAGTAGCAGAAAGAACAAGAGTTCTCTTGAAAATCAGCAGAAGCACTTTGCTTACCTTTTTTGACAGTTTCTTGGCCAAAGTTTTACCTGTTAAATAAAAAAAAATGCTACTCAATAATTTTACAAGTCAAAACCTTGATCAAATTCTTTGAATTTTTAAAAATAAGGAGAATGCAAGTAATGCAAAGCAGAACAAAACTACCAGCTTCAAAATAGTCTAATCCCCACAATGCACAGGAAAGCAATATTCAAATCTAATATGAATAGCCTGTACAAGTGATCCTGCAACAAAAAGAACAAAAGAATGAGCTCTTTTAAATACTTCTGAACCTTTGTTTGATGTAACCTCATAGTACTTTACATGTTTTGCCTAAAATCATGAAAATTAAAACAAGTCATAAGGCAATAAGAAGTGATAGTGAAAGACTATCCCTCTCCTGAAGGAGGAGGGTTGTATACCAATGAAGTAGTGACCAATGGGCCTTTCTATATCTTTCTTTTCAATTTGTGTTTTCCATCTACGTAATTGTGAAACTGGAAGCTACCTGGGAAGGCCAAGAGGTTGAACTCTGTTCCCGCCCTAAATATCTTGGCGTCACCTTAGATTGAACACTAACATTTAGAAAACACTGTGCAAACACCAAGCACAAAGTAGCTACACACAATAACATCCTGCGGAAACTTACTGATAGTGCATGGGGTAAAGACTCAAAATTAATAACAAGATTAACCCTGGCCTTGTCTTACTCAACTGTGGAGTATGCCTGCCCCATCTGGCATAAATGTGCCCATGAGAAGCAAGTGAATAGCACTGAATGAGACATGCAGTATAATCAGATGATGTCTTAAACCTACGTGGGTTGATAGACTCTATAAGCTAGCTGGCAGTGTCCCTCCTGATATGCAATGGGAAGTTGCTGCCAACTGTGAGAGAAATAAGGTTGAACACTATGAAAGCCAACCACTGCATGGCTATTGGCCTCCTCCCAGTAGATTTATTTATTTATGCAATGTTTTTGACACAAAATATATATATGCAGGGGGAGCTCTTCTCTTTCTCTTCCTCTTGCTACAGCAGAGACCAAATCAATACTGTCTAAAAATATAAATCAAGTTTGACTGTGCATTTAATTGAACACTGCTTCTTTGCAAATTTTGTATTACCATGCCATATCCTTTGACTGTCATTTTGCTTTCTAAAGCTTCGCTTGGACTTGATGATCCAACCAATGCCCATAATAAAATCCTATCCGGGCTGAGAAAGGCGGTATACAAATATGGTAAATAAATAAATCTACATCATCTTATATAACAAACTAATCTCTAGTGGGAAGTAGGAAAGACTCTATGTTGAGGAAGAGTAAATGATTCATCTGAACCTCAAATAATTTTGTCTTCGTCTGAATATAGTATTTTCCACTCCAAGAAATAAGTGAAGTGTGGACAAAAAGACATTTCTACAAGAAAAAGGTTGGGAATCTGTCCTTCCTTTTTCAAAGGATTATAAGCACTTTGAAGTCATCTTAACAAGAGCAGTGCCACTGAATTAGTGCAATCTGCAACATGAAGCTTTCAATCTGTCCAGCTCTTGGAAGAGTACAACAAATAGAGATTTATTGTACAACATTCCAGTTTTCTAAAAGTGTGAAATCTATCTGGACTGCCATTTTATAATGGAATTCTACCACACCCTGATTGAGAGGCAACTTATATACTTCTGGGGATACTCGGTTTTTTCTACTATTTTATTGTTTTCACTCCATCTACTTTCACTCATGCAAATTGAAGAGAAAATATGAGAAAACTTACTAACCGCAATAAAATGTAGCTTTAAAATGTAATTTGATTTTTTTTAAAATGTTTTAAACATGAAAGAATGGAAACTTCAATCCTCAGCTCTTCCAAGCCTGCAATGGAATTTTGGCTCAGTGAATAAACAGAATGTTTTTCAGAATATCTCCACCTCTCTTGGACATCCCATTATACAGATTTCAAAATAATATACAGCTGACCCATGAAGTACCAACCAAATGGATGCATATCATGTTACTGTTGAAAGAATCAAGAGATGGCTGCATTCTGGCTTTTTTCCTCACCAGAAAAAGTAACTGTTTCTGTCTTGACTTTGCTGTAGGCAGGTATAGTATATTTAGCAACTTTATTTTTAAAAACCCAGACATTTCTATCCTCTCCTTGCACAAAGATTCAAAATTATTCTGATCCCAGGTTCAATATTCTTTGTATTGTCACTTGAGAACATCAACATTGGAGTGAATGAGAATATATCTTATAATTAATGTTTATATCACTTCATCAGCAGGACAGGGCACTGTTTTGGTTCCCAGGAGAAATTTGGCAGCTGACATGATGTCAGAGAGTGGTCTTATCCCCAAGCTCTTATCTTTCCCCTGAAACCAGGGCCCATTTCATATTTCCTCTCACATGGAGAGAAGGCTTCAACTTACATGTCCTTGTCCAAGCACCAGCTAATTCCCTTTACGTGGTATGTTCTCTTCCAAGTGGTATACTGCACACTGTTCTGTCTAATCACAATGGGAAGAACAGTGATCCTTGGCCATTTCTGATTTTTATCCTTTCTGGATGTTTCCTGCCCTGGTGCAGTTGTAGTAGAGTCTGTAAGTAACGTTGCAAGTGGTAGTATGGATGCCAGAAGGGGGAAAAGGGGTGTTCGTGAGCAGGAGTCAGATGAGGAACAGCAAAGGAATAGGATCCGGGATATACTTATGGCACCTACCGATGAAGACTCATTCAAAGGGTTCTCTGGTGACGAAGTGTCAATGAGCGAGGGAGAGGAAGAAGATACAATGGATGGCAATCAGGGAACAAAGAGGGTTACTCGGGAGCAAGAATCGGATGAGGAGCGTCAGAGGAAGAAGATCCGGGATATACTTACTACTCCCACAGAGGAAGAATCAGGGTTTCTCTGGGAGTGATGGATCTGGGAGTGATGAGGATGGGGATGACACATTGGATTGGACCAAGGTAAAGGAGGTTCAAGATGTATGTGCGGCGCCAACGTCTAGTGACACATTTATGGGGTTTTCGGGTAATGAGGACTGGCAACTGGGAGATACATCTGAGTCTTGACAGAAGATGGCGAAGTTGGAGGGATGGAAGCAGAGGTTCACGTGTGGAATCAAGTACAGCTGCAAGAGTTAATGATGGGGCGGAGGTCAGCTCATCTTCAGATGATGATGTGTAAGATAAAAGTAGGCTCTGAAATGGGGACTCTTTGCAGAAGGCAAAGTGTCGGTTACGTTTGTGTATCGTGTGGATTTGTCGCTGCCTGTTTTCGTATTGGGCTTTGGGTCCGGGTTCTGCAGCCTGGAGTTCCTGTTCCTGTGTGTTTCGACTTGGATTGACTTCTCGTGAGTGCGGATTTCTCCCTTCCTGAATCTTGGACTGACTTGACGCCGCCGCTTCTTGACGGACTTGGAGACGACGCTTCTTTGGACTACTTCTACGATGACTTTTGGACTTCGTCTGGCTTCGGTTTCTCTTCCTGTGGTTTCTGCTTGCTGTTAACTGTTTGAGTGCTGCGCTGTTTGTTTGCTGCTAAGTACTGTACTTTAATCCGGATTTTTTTCTCTGGTTAATCTGGATTATATTTCCGTTTGCTTTTTAAACCAAGTTTGGTTAGTTTTTTTTAGTTTTGGCCAGAGACACTGAAGGTTAAGTGTTTCTGAGCTTCTGTTTTTGTTGCAATAAACTTTACTTTGGGACTTATACAATGTGTGGCCCTTTAAAGCATCTGTGTCTCGACAGGTGCATCCAACAAATTTCTTATATTCCTGTTACACACACACAATCTACATACATACATACATACATGCACACAAGAGTATATTAAATAGATATGCATACATGCACCTTTATATTATAAGTGAATAACACAGTAGCACTTACGCCCTGATTTGTCAAACATTACTGAAAAAAGGAAGTCTCTTGGAGTCATGTAATATTCTCCTTCATACTCCAACGAAGCGAACTCCATAAAACGTTTTTTCCGTATGGAGAGCTTTTCTGCCATCTCTTCATCTATACTCTCTTCCTTCTAAAAGAAATAAAGAAAGGAGGAGAAAAAAAGAGAGAAAAGGCAGAGATCGAATTAACTTTGTAGACTTTCACAACTGTCATTTAGGATTCAATAACATAGGTAGTAACAAAACAGACTTTCACAAATTGTTTTTGAGACTGCCCATCTTTGTTTTTTTTAAAAAACAACAAAAGTTTATGTTTTGGAGTTTGACCCACAGCAGCTTCCACCACCATTTTGGTGGAAGTAATTACAGAAGTAAAGTTGTTCTTGGAAAGTTCCTTGATATTCAGGGGTTTGGATGCTCTTTTACATTATTTAGCTATTTCATGGAAATTAACAAATAGAAACAGGAGTGAATTTTCCACACTCTTTTGAATGCTAAAAGATTGACACTATTTTATTGGAAAGATAATCCTTCTCTATCTATTATCCAATGGATAACAAATCTAACAACACTTGCAACATTTGAAAGAACGAAACATAGATAAAACTTTTACATAGACTTATATTTGGTCAGGTTTTATAATGTGGTTATTATTCCTCCTTTTGCATTGTTGTTTTCCTGTTTTTTTATACCAGAATATTTTTCTGCACGCATGCATTCCTCAGTCCCATTTTTACTTGTGCATGGAGACTGCACCTGCAATTTAAGACACTGGGGAAGGGCAATGGGTTTTACTCCTAACCCAGTTTTACTCATATGAAAGCTGAGGGGGCATAGTCATGTTTAAATATTGGAATGATGCCATACTGAAGGGGGTGGGGCACATGATTTCAGCTGCTCTGGAGACTAGGACATAGAGCAATCGATTCAAATGGCAGGGGAAAAAATATTCCACCTAAACATTAGGAAGAATTTCTTGACAGTAAGAGCTGTTTGGCAATGGAATAGGCTGCTTCCTTGGAGCATGGTGGAGTCTCCATCTCTGGAGGTTTTTAAGCAATGGCAGGATGGCCATCTGTCAGGGATGCTTTGATTGTGTGTTCCTGCATGGCAGGAGGTTGGACTGGATGACTCTTGGGGTCTCTTCCAACTCTATGATTATATGAGCTGGAATGAATTGAGAATTAATATCATATGTTAATTCATGAAAGCTCATACCTTTACTACAAAGATAGATTTACTCAGAAGTCCGATCGCAAAATATGTATTACAAAAACTACTTTCCTAAGGCACAGATATGACTGAACATACACAGATTTCAATACGATGCTAGTATACAGTTCTAGGCTAAAACATGTCAGCTATAATGAAATGTGTTCAGTTAATGTTAAGTGTAAATTTTCACGGAAAGAATTCAGAAAGAATTCTATTATGTGTAGATCATATGGGTGTTTCCAAATATCATGAGTTCCATGGTGGCAAAGCATCACAGATGGGGTTTCAGACCATAACTTTGAACTGTAGCTGTTTTGTGGTTTTAATCAGTATCAACCAATAATGTTAATAGAACATTGTATAATGCCTAATGGTGAATTAGACCTGAATGACTTCAAAGAAATCTCCAGTGACGCAAGAGTCTTCCCCTTCCATTGACGTGTCAACTGATCAGCTGGTTAGGAGCAATTTATGCCTGAGCACTATTTGAACTTCCATACAACCTGGGGCTTTTTTCTGTGAGCTAATTTTTAATTTGGGCTATAAATCTTCTTCAGTTAATTGATTTTATGTGAAAAACACACACAATGTTTTTCTTCTATGTTTAGGTTTGCGTAGGAAATCTAGCCTGAGGCAGCTGTAATGATACACACACAATGTTTGCCCCCTGCAAAATCTCCTGTTAGGCCTATTTAATTTACCTCTGGGGAGAACAATGGTTCTTAATCATAGGCCATTTAGTGAGAGCAAAGCAACAAAATAAAAAGGCGTCCCACTTAAAAAAAATTAACCTGAACCATAAGTAACGTATTTCATTGTTAGCTATTAAGAATGTAGCATTTGTAAATATTTTCCAGTTTTGCAAGAATGCATTTTACACAAACCTGTATAATCCATGTTCAAACAACAACGGAAAATATCTAGTATTCATTCTTTTCATTCTCTCTATATCCACACACTTCCCAACAAGAATACCAGCATGAAATGAGTTTGCACATATTCCCTTGACTCATGTTAATCTGCATCTCTATTGCTTCTTTTTCCTTCTTTTCTAATACCATTTTATTAAGTTTCGAATTATATTCATTACCCATTCCTAGTAACTTCTGATCAGTTTAAAACACTTTAACATTCATGCTTAGTGCCAAAATGCAGTATGATGACACATTTACACTCATATACAGGCAGCAGTCCTGGAGTTACAAACATCCGACTTACAAATTACTAATAGTTAAGAACGAGAGTGATACAACAGGAAGTAAGAGAAATCTCCTCCTATGAAGAGAAAATTACTTCTGAAAGAGTTATCATGGAAAAAAAGATGTCTCCACTCAAAATCCGTAGCCAGGATTTTGTTTCAGGGGGAGCTGAGTTTGATTCGGGGGCGGGTCTGAGTGAAAGAGAGTCTACCTTAGCAAACCTTTTGTATCGTTATCCCAATACCCCCGTGTATATGGGATATATTGAGCATGGTGATCAGATCATGATATGAATAAACATAACTGTTTAAATAATGTACCAGTAAGGCCTTCTCGCGGACCACCATGAGTATTTCGGGGGGGGGGGGGGCTGAAGCCCCCAAGCCCCCCTCCTGGCTACATGCCTTTCTCCCTTTAAGCATTACCATCCATCCTTGTTTCCACAACAAGCCAATTTTTTACAAAATCCAATTATCACAGGAATAGAAAGTGAGGTGAAATCTTCTGCAGAAGGGGAGAGATAGCAAAATAGACACCACAGGGGCATTAACCCTCTCCAATGCTATTCAAAGCTTACAAATATATATTTTTGGCTGGAGTTACACTAAGAAATGGACCTGTTCTGACTTGCATACAAATTCAACTTAAGAACACATCTACAGAACTTATCATGTTTGTAAATTGGGGACTGCATGTATTTGAAAATACAGTTTTCTTCTACTCATTGTTGAAAAAGAATTACATCTGGTGATTGCAGGCAACTGATTGTGTAAGACCCAGTATTTTTGACTGCCTTTTAAAACTCCCTACTCCCACAAAACATTTCATCTCATAACTTAATCCACTGGCATGGGTTGTTTACCAAAGGCTGCCACTGCCAGGGTCTTGCAGGTCCTCTGGATGATATAAAAACCAAATTGCAGAAAACTATGGTAAAGAAGTGCTGCTTTTTACCCTAGGACATCCAAGTCAGCCCTGTAATATTTTTTTTTCAGATGCTTTGAAGAAAGCATGTTGATCTATATATTCTACAAAAGTTCCACAGTATGGATGTATATATGTTTAATGTATTGTCGAAGGCTTTCATGGCCGGAATCACTCAGTTCTTGTGGGTTTTTTCTGGCTATATGGCCATGTTCTAGAGGCATTTCTCCTGACGTTTCGCCTGCATCTATGGCAAGCTTCCTCAGAGGTGAGGTATGTTTGCTTGTTTGATCCACAAAGGCTCCTATACAGCTTCATGGATTTGGATTGCACTTGGAACACACCCCCTTCATTATATAATTTAAAGTACAGGTGGGGTTTCAGCTAAAAAAAACACCCCAAAATAATAAAGGGGTATGCATGTACTATGTGACGCTCAGATGTAAACACAAGAGGGCAGTGTGTGTGTGTGTGTGTGTGTGTGTGTATATATATATATATATAGAGAGAGAGAGAGAGAGAGAGCAAGAGCGCAACCCTTCAGGCAACCATAGTCTCTCCAAGTTTCAGTAACCATTAATGTTTCAATCCCTGTAATTTATATCTTTTAAAAACACACTTAAGAGGAGGGTAGGCTTAATAATGCTGTTGGTGGCGGGAGCACCCCAAAATTGAAAAGAAAAAAAAGCCACCAGGAATGACATGAAATCACTTCTGTTCACCAAAATGGCAGCTGAAGATGTGAGGTAGCTCTCCAGAGGACTTCCAAATGACAAAGTAGATACAGCAGAACAACCAACAACGGCTTTTTTCAAATGGAACGTCCTTTCTCAAGTTCTCCAATATCATTTCTGGTAAACTGGAGTCCCAGGAAAATGACAGATTACTAATGAAACTGAAAAGACAGGTGAAAGAAACAACTGTCCCACTTCTGTAACCTTCCAAGGACATTAAACCCTGAAACTATGCCTTTCCTCTATAGCAAAGGCTGGGGATACAGACTGACATGGAAGTCCTCTATTATGAGTCCAATAGTTTATCTTTTTCCGAAGCCCCTTCCCCAAACAGATAAGCTCATTGGTGGTATACTGCTCCTGCCTTTGGGGGTAATGAGGACTATGCTCTGTACCAGATCTTGATGTCTTAGCCCCTATCATGCCTGCCCCATGTCCATTTAAACGTTTTTAGCTTTCTGGCCTCGTAGGGCATAGAATCAAGTTGTGGGGAAGATTTTAGCTTTATCTTTTCCCAGGTTACTTGGCTGGGTATGTGTGACAAACAGGATTAGGAACTGTAAAACATACAAGCACCGCCTCGAGAACTCTTAAAACAGAGCACAAGATACAAGCACTTTGCAAATTCTCTTTCCTTCAAGCAATTTCACATTTTTCAAATATAGATACAAGCCAATTTCCTCTTTTCTGCTTTTTCTTTCAATGTAGGGCATGTGTGGGCAACTGAAAATGGTCTGGAGGTAGGAGGGGGATACAACGATTGCCAACAAAACTTGAAATTGACTAGACCTCTACTTCTTGTTTTGAACAACAACAACACAACCCAGGTATTACTAGTATGTTGAACAATATGAAGGGGAAAAAGGATGACCCAAACAACTACCGTCCGGTCAGCCTCACGTCGATACCAGGCAAGATTCTGGAAAAGATTGTTAAGGAAGTGGTCTGCAAACACTTAGAAATATATGCGGTCATCGCTAATAGTCAACGTGGATTTATCAAAAACAAGTCATGCCAGACTAATCTGATCTTTTTTTTCGATAGAGTTACAAGCTGGGT